ATAAACACCATCAATATATTCGATATAACAAACACAATCACTGAGAAGGGTGTCGACGAAATACATGCAGACTTTGTTATGCAATCCTCTTGGGAATCTCTGCCAGCAGAATTTAAGATTATGGCTCTTGAAGGAAAGAAGAACCAGACTGATCCTCATCTGCTACGTAATATTACACTGATGCATATAGAAGCAAACATGGTATCCGACAGCTTCACTTACTTCACCGATGGCTCAATAGACCGGCAGAGACAAGAAACCGGAGCTGCAGTTAAAGCAGGAAACTCTGTAAATAGTTGGAGGCTCTCAAATGCGTGATCGACTTTACAAACAGAGATGCTAGCCATTCAAAAGGCTTTGGAACATGCTCTTGCTGAACACCGACATCATGTTATCATATATACAAATTCGATAACCGCCATTGAAACCTTGCAACAAGAACACATATGTGATAACATACATCTGATCACAAATGTCGTATCATTAATGCAAACACTCAAACGACAAGGCCGACGGGTACTTATCAACTGGGTGCCAAGTCATGTGGGAATAATAGGAAATGACATTGCAGACGAAGCTGCAAAACTTGCAACTAAGAGAAGAAATGTAGACATTTATATACCACAGAGTCTGTCACAGATTAAGAAAGTAATTAGAAACAGAGCAATGCAAAAGGATGTACAGTGACCACAACACAGCAGTTGCAACATCAGGATCTGCGGGTTGGTACAAGAATTCAACCAACCACGAACCACTTAGTTTGATGAAAGGGAGCAGTAGAGCAACAGAAGTACACATACATCGCATCAGGCTTGGATACCCATGTGCATGGGAAATAGGCTTACAGACTCCGGAAGATGAGAGGAAATGTCAGCACTGTGGAGAAATGCCCGACAGACCACTGGAACATTATCTAACACAGTGCACAGTTACAAACCCAATAAGATTTCAACTTAGATTCAACAGAGCAGAAGAAGTTGTTAAACACATATGGCAAAATCTTACTGAAGCGACCATACGAGTCATAAATACTCATACTCCGCCCAAGTAAAACAGAAACAAGCAACACTTAGTGGGCCAGCCAGAGGCTTAGGGCCCGCGCAGGAATATCCCTGCAAAAAAAAAAACAGGTGTACAGGTCCTGGAGCCTACTGGGCTCTATCATATCTACACGTGAAACCGTGTATGGAGTCTGGCTCCAACACATCACTTTCTAATGCATTCCATTTGTCTACTACTCTGACACTGAAAAAATAATTTCTGATGTCTCTATTACTCATTTGGGCACTCAATTTCCACCTGTGTCCACTAGTACATGTGCCCCTGGTGTTAAATAGTCTGACTTTATCTACTCTATCAATTCCTCTGAGAATCTTGTATGTGGTGATCATGTCTCCTAACTCTTCTGTCTCCCAGTGACATGAGATTTAATTCCTGTAGTCTCTCTTCGTAGCTCATAACCCTCAGTTCGGGTACTAGTATGGTGGCAAACCTCTGAACTTATTCCAGTTTAGTCATGTGCTTGACTAGATATGGACTCCATTCTGGAGCCACATACTCCAGGATTGGTCTGACATATGTGGTATACAAAGTTCTGAATGACTTCTAACACAAGTTTCTAAACGTCGTTCTTATGTTAGCCAACCTAGAATATGCCGCTGATGTTATCCTCTTGATATGGGATTCAGGGGACAGGTCTGGTGAGATATCAACCTACAGGTCTCTCTCTCTCTTTGACTCTTGAAGTATTCCATATCCAAAATGATACCTTGTATTTGGTCTCCAGCTCCCTACACCTATCTTCATTACATTATATTTGCTTGGGTTAAACTCTAACAACCATTTGTTCGACCATTCCTGCAGCTTGTCCAGGTCTTCTTGGAGCCTCAAGCTGTCCTCCTCTGTCTTAATCCTTCTCATAATTTTGGCGTCGGCAGCAAACATTGAGAGAAATGAGTCTGTACCCTCTGGGAGATCATTTACATATATCAGAAACAGGATAGGTCCGAGTACAGAGCCCTGTGGAACTCCATTGGTTACTGCACGCCAATCTGAGGTCTCACCCTCTCGCTGTAACTCTCTGCTTCTTATTACTTAAGTTCACCCTTATCCACTGGAGCAGCCTACCAGTTACTCCTGCCTATTTTTCCAGCTTATGCATCAGCCTTTTATGAGGTACTGTGTCAAAGACTTTCCGACAGTCTAAGAAAATGCAATCTGCCCATCCTTTTCTTTCTTGCTTAATCTTTGTCACCTGATCGTAGAATTCTATTAAGCCTGTAATGCAAGATTTACCCTCCCTGAACCCATGTTGATGGGTTGTCACGAAGTCCCTTCTCTCCAGATGTGTTACTAGGTTTTTTCTCACGATCTTCTCCATCACCTTGCATGGTATACAAGTTAAGAACACTGTTCTGTAGTTCAGTGTCTCTTGTCTGTCACCTTTTTTGTACATTGGGACTACATTAGCTGTCTTCCATATTTCTGGTTTGTCTCCCATCTCCAGTGACCTACTATACACTGTGGAGCGTGGCAAGCAAAGTGCTTCTGCACACTCTTTCAATACCCATGGTGATATTCCGTCTGGGCCAACAGCCTTTCTCACGTCCAGATCCAACAGATGCCTCTTAACCTCATCTCTAGTAATTTCGAACCCTTCCAAGGCCTCCTGGTTTACGACCACCTCTCCTAGCGCAGCGACCGCACCTCGTTCTATTGTGAAGACCTCCTGGAAAATCTTGTTGAATTCTTCACACACCTCTTTGTCATTCTCTGTGGGCTTGTCCTCACCCATTCTAAGTTTCATCACCTGTTCCTGCACTGTTGTTTTCCTCCTAATGTGACTGTGGAGTAGCTTTGGTTCGGTCTTGGCTTTATTAGCTATATCATTTTCATACTTTTTCTCCGCTTCTCGTTTCACACTAACATACTCGTTCCTGGTTCTCTGGTATCTCTCTCTACTGTCTGGTGTTCAGTTATTTCGGAAGTTCCTCCACACCTGACAGCTGGGTGGACAGCGCTTCGGATTCGTAGTCCTGAGGTTCCGGGTTCGATCCCCGGTGGAGGCGAAGAGAAATGGGCAAAATGTTTTTTACACCATGATGCCCCCTGTTACCTAGCAGTAAATAGATACCTGTGAGTTAGACAGCTGTTACGGGCTGCTTCCTGAGGGGAAGGAGGTGTAACAAAAAGGAGGCCTGGTCAAGAACCGAGCCACGGGGTCACTAAGCCCCGAAATCTTCTCAAGATAACCTCAAGATAACGCCCTTTTGTTCAGTTCCTTTGCGTCCATTCATGCCCTATTAAACCACGGATTCTTCTTATGCTTCTCGGTTTTTTCCTTTCGGGCGGGCATTAACCTGTTTACTGCCTCCTGACACTTTTTTGTGACACAGTCCATCATGTCTTGTACGGACTTTGTTCTCGGTTCTGTGTCCCATGGTATATCCCTTAGGAATTTTCTCATCTCCTTATAATTTTCCTTTCCGTACGCCAGCCCTTTATTTCCTGGTTCTTTTTTGGGGGGAGATAAATCCTAGCTCTACCGGGTACTCAAAGATCAATACACTGCGATCACTCATTCCCAAGGGGGCTGTATGTGTGTTGTGTGTGTGTGTGTGTGTGTATGTGTGTGTGTGTGTGTGTGTGTGTGTGTGTGTGTGTGTGTGTGTGTGTGTGTGTGTGTGTGTGTGTTTGTGTGTGTGTGTGTGTGTGTGTGTGTGTGTGTATTCACCTAGTTGTATTTGCGGGGGTTGAGCTTTGTGTGTGTGTATGTGTGTGTGTGTGTGTGTGTGTGTGTGTGTGTGTGTGTGTGTGTGTGTGTGTGTGTGTGTGTGTGTGTGTGTGTGTGTGTGTGTTTGTGTGTGTGTGTGTGTGTGGAGAGACACTGCAGCATACAGTGTGCACACTAATTTGCAGTGTGAGGCTATAGCTGCAGATTAGCTATAATTCACAGCTATCTCACTCACCACCCCTCCCTGCTATCACTTGTTATAGGACTATAATCCCCAGCACCACCACTCACCACCCCTCCCTGCTATCACTGGTTATAGGACTATAATCCCCAGCACCACCACTCACCACCCCTCCCTGCTATCACTGGTTATAGGACTATAATCCCCAACACCACCACTCACCACCCCTCCCTGCTATCACTGGTTATAGGACTATAATCCCCAGCACCACCACTCACCACCCCTCCCTGCAATCACTGGTTATAGGACTATAATCCCCAGCACCACCACTCACCACCCCTCCCTGCTATCACTGGTTATAGGACTATAATCCCCAGCACCACCACTCACCACCCCTCCCTGCAATCACTGGTTATAGGACTATAATCCCCAGCACCACCACTCACCACCCCTCCCTGCTATCACTGGTTATAAGACTATAATCCCCAGCACCACCACTCACCACCCCTCCCTGCTATCACTGGTTATAGGACTATAATCCCCAACACCACCACTCACCACCCCTCCCTGCTATCACTTGTTATAGGACTATAATCCCCAGCACCACCACTCACCACCCCTCCCTGCTATCACTGGTTATAGGACTATAATCCCCAACACCACCACTCACCACCCCTCCCTGCTATCACTGGTTATAGGACTATAATCCCCAACACCACCACTCACCACCCCTCCCTGCTATCACTTGTTATAGGACTATAATCCCCAGCACCACCACTCACCACCCCTCCCTGCTATCACTGGTTATAGGACTATAATCCCCAACACCACCACTCACCACCCCTCCCTGCTATCACTGGTTATAGGACTATAATCCCCAACACCACCACTCACCACCCCTCCCTGCTATCACTGGTTATAGGACTATAATCCCCAGCACCACCACTCACCACCCCTCCCTGCTATCACTGGTTATAGGACTATAATCCCCAGCACCACCACTCACCACCCCTCCCTGCTATCACTGGTTATAGGACTATAATCCCCAGCACCACCACTCACCACCCCTCCCTGCTATCTTTACAGATGACTCACGTTATAATCATAGAGAAGGATAAAAAAGAAGTGTTCAACAGCGACGGGGAAGTGATGGTTCATGTCCCCGAGGTAGAGGGCCGCCTGCGGCTGACCCGGAGCGGAGCCTCAGAGAGTAACCACGTGTATACCCTGCAGGTGAGTATTGCACGTGTTCCACGGGGTGAGTACTACACGTGCTCCACGGGGTGAGAACTACACGTGTTCCACGGGGTGAGTACTACACGTGTTCCACGGGGTGAGTACTACACGTGTTCCACGGGGTGAGTACTACACGTGTTCCACGGGGTGTGTACTACACGTGTTCCACGGGGTGTGTATTACACGTGTTCCACGGGGTGTGTACTACACGTGTTCCACGGGGTGTGTACTACACGTGCTCCACGGGGTGAATAGGAAACTTGGTTTACAGGGTGAGTACTGCAAGTGGTCGACGGGTTTAGTACTGTACGTGGTTCCACATGTGTGTGCTTCACAGACATGAGTGTGTGAATCACATCTGTGTGTGAAGCACACCTGTGTGTGAAGCATGTGGGAAAATTGTCGGGATTGATTAATTAGGAGAACTACTAGGGGGTTGTACTGTACTAAATTAAAAAAATTCTGTATGCAAAATTAATTCAACTAAAGTCCCTAGCTAGGGTTGTAAAGCCTAGCTCCTCTTGTCCTAATGACACACTGTGGGCTGTAAGGGGCAGGAGGGAGTCCCTAAGGGTGAATGGAGAAGTTGATTGAAGATCCACAATCCACCTGCAGAGAATTCGACACATCAGCTCGTATATTTACTACAAGTATAAGATTTAATAACTCAGTTCTATAACTGAACACTGGTTCTGTTTAAATCAAGGATCTAAACATGTACACAGTCCAGCCTAGCACCATAACTACAACAGCCAATATTCACATACTAATAAACACAAAAATTTGTATTATAGAGGTAAGATATATATAAATATGCTATCAAATGACCTTAAATGTAGCGAAAGTACTGGTAACTAAGTACAAGAGATTATACTCAAAATGATAAATTTATATGATAAATTAAAAATAACTAAGTTAGCAATTATTTACTTAATGTGTATTATCAATTATATATATATATATATATATATATATATATATATATATATATATATATATATATATATATATATATATATTAGTATATTTTGGTAGCAGTCTTTCCTGTAGACATATATTATTAAATATGACCGAAAAAGTAAGATTAATAATTCTAACACGAATTTTCTCAATCTTTCGTACATTACGCTTCACTGTTGGAGGTAAATCAAAAATCACTTCTCCAAAATTCATTTTTATTTCTAGTCTGACGCGACACGGGTGCGTTTCGTAAAACTTATTACATTTTCAAAGACTTCACAAATACACAACTGATTAGAACTTACGTCTCTCTGATATTATATCTACATTTGAGTGAGGTGGGAAGGGTGATGTGGCATTAACACAAGACAGAACAGGAGGGGATATTAATAGGGTATTAAAAGTATCAACACAAGACAGAACAGAAACAATGGGTACTGAATAGAAGTGTTTGTAGAAAGCCTATTGGTCCATATTTCTTGATGCTCCTATATTGGAGCGGTGTCTTGAGGTGGGTAGAATATAGTTGTGCAATAATTGGCTGTTGATTGCTGGTGTTGACTTCTTGATGTGTAGTGCCTCGCAAACGTCAAGCCGCCTGCTATCGCTGTATCTATCGATGATTTCTGTGTTGTTTACTAGGATTTCTCTGGCGATGGTTTGGTTATGGGAAGAGATTATATGTTCCTTAATGGAGCCCTGTTGCTTATGCATCGTTAAACGCCTAGAAAGAGATGTTGTTGTCTTGCCTATATACTGGGTTTTTTGGAGCTTACAGTCCCCAAGTGGGCATTTGAAGGCATAGACGACGTTAGTCTCTTTTAAAGCGTTCTGTTTTGTGTCTGGAGAGTTTCTCATGAGTAGGCTGGCCGTTTTTCTGGTTTTATAGTAAATCGTCAGTTGTATCCTCTGATTTTTGTCTGTAGGGATAACGTTTCTATTAACAATATCTTTCAGGACCCTTTCCTCCGTTTTATGAGCTGTGGAAAAGAAGTTCCTGTAAAATAGTCTAATAGGGGGTATAGGTGTTGTGTTAGTTGTCTCTTCAGAGGTTGCATGACTTTTCACTTTCCTTCTTATGATGTCTTCGATGAAACCATTGGAGAAGCCGTTATTGACTAGGACCTGCCTTACCCTACAGAGTTCTTCGCGAAGAACTCTGTAGGGTAAGGCAGGTCCTAGTCAATAACGGCTTCTCCAATGGTTTCATCGAAGACATCATAAGAAGGAAAGTGAAAAGTCATGCAACCTCTGAAGAGACAACTAACACAACACCTATACCCCCTATTAGACTATTTTACAGGAACTTCTTTTCCACAGCTCATAAAACGGAGGAAAGGGTCCTGAAAGATATTGTTAATAGAAACGTTATCCCTACAGACAAAAATCAGAGGATACAACTGACGATTTACTATAAAACCAGAAAAAACGGCCAGCCTACTCATGAGAAACTCTCCAGACACAAAACAGAACGCTTTAAAAGAGACTAACGTCGTCTATGCCTTCAAATGCCCACTTGGGGACTGTAAGCTCCAAAAACCCAGTATATAGGCAAGACAACAACATCTCTTTCTAGGCGTTTAACGATGCATAAGCAACAGGGCTCCATTAAGGAACATATAATCTCTTCCCATAACCAAACCATCGCCAGAGAAATCCTAGTAAACAACACAGAAATCATCGATAGATACAGCGATAGCAGGCGGCTTGACGTTTGCGAGGCACTACACATCAAGAAGTCAACACCAGCAATCAACAGCCAATTATTGCACAACTATATTCTACCCACCTCAAGACTCCGCTCCAATATAGGAGCATCAAGAAATATGGACCAATAGGCTTTCTACAAACACTTCTATTCAATACCCATTGTTTCTGTTCTGTCTTGTGTTGATACTTTTAATACCCTATTAATATCCCCTCCTGTTCTGTCTTGTGTTAATGCCACATCACCCTTCCCACCTCACTCAAATGTAGATATAATATCAGAGAGACGTAAGTTCTAATCAGTTGTGTATTTGTGAAGTCTTTGAAAATGTAATAAGTTTTACGAAACGCACCCGTGTCGCGTCAGACTAGAAATAAAAATGAATTTTGGAGAAGTGATTTTTGATTTACCTCCAACAGTGAAGCGTAATGTACGAAAGATTGAGAAAATTCGTGTTAGAATTATTAATCTTACTTTTTCGGTCATATTTAATAATATATATATATATATATATATATATATATATATATATATATATATATATATATATATATATATATATATATATATATATATATATATATACTTTCATATAGTATCTATATATATATAGATACTTTCGAATACATACTTACGTACGGATACTTACGGATACATCGACGAAAGCATCCGTACCCGCATTGAACAACACCTCCACATCCTCACAGACCAACATCACCTCAGCACTGAAACAAGGATTATCAAGAAACTAACAACATTATATGGAGGACCTATGGCAATTCCACGACCAAGAGATGGCTTCCTGAACCTTGCAGGAATTAACCTCACTGAGGACCAAGTCACTCTCCTAAATCTGGACATAAACTGTCACGTTATGTCCAGACCGAGTGAGATGGCCCGGAAAGTAGAGTTGGAAATTCTGTTGGACGACATATTCGACCTCGAGACACAAAAGAAGGTCACTACCAAAGATACCTTACAAGCAGAACTTATTGCAGAAGGAGGAAAGAATCGAGGCAATTACAGAAGCACCATACTGTCCCCCGAGCTCAAAGCGGCAGCTAAAAGCCTTCGTGAGAACAAGGAGATAGTTGTCAGGAGAGGTGACAAGTCGCCAATATATGTCATTCTTAAAAAAGACGAATATCTGGCGAAAATGAACATCATACTCTCTGTCCAAACTAAGTTCCAAAGGGTAACGAAGGACACTACAGCCGAATTAAAAGCAAAGGTCAACAAACTGATCGAAACTGTGAACGCCAAGAAATCCGGACTCCACCTGCCAAAGATCATTGGGGAATATAAACATGGATATGCGTATGGAAATGTCAAGACACACAAGCCTGGAAACCCACTTCGGCCAATCATTACCCAGATACCCACACCCACGTACAGACTGGCGAAGCGACTCAACGGCCTGCTGACTCCTTATGTTCCCTGCGCCTTCAGCCTGAAGTCTCCAAAGGAATTTGTTGACTTACTGCGGGGCACACGGGCCACAGGGATAAGAGCCTCGTTGGACGTAGAATCGCTGTTTACCAACGTATCTGTGGACGAGACAATCGGGATGATAGCCGACAGAGTGTATCGTGATCCAGCCTTTACTCCTCTTGACATACCAGAAAATATTCTGAGGAAACTACTCCAAGCTTGTACTAAAGAGGCACCCTTCTTGAGCCCGGATGGGCACATGTATAAGCAAGTAGATGGGGTCGCCATGGGTTCTCCCCTAGGTGTCCTGTTTGCAAACTTCTACATGGGTTCCATCGAGCAAAAAGTCTTAGTCGACATGAACTTGAAACCGGCCATATACTGCAGGTATGTTGACGACATTTTTACACAGGTACCTGATGTCAGACATCTGCAGGAGCTGAAGGAGGCATTTGAGCAGAATTTTGTGTTGCGTTTCACTTACGAGATGGAAAAGGATGGGAAGCTGCCCTTTCTAGATGTAGCAGTCATGGAAAAGAGCGGAGGTTTCCACACTGCAGTCTACACTAAGGAAACGAACATAGGAATGTGCATAAATGCCAACAGCGACTGCCCAGACAGGTACAAGAGGAGTGTTGTTAACGCATATGTCGACCGTGCTCTCAGCCACAGCTCAGAATGGAAGCAAGTCGACGAAGAACTCTGTAGAGTAAGGCAGGTCCTAGTCAACAACGGCTTCTCCAATGGCTTCGTCGAAGACATCATAAGAAGGAAAGTGAAACGCCATGCAACCTCTGAAGAGACAACTAACACAACACCTATACCCCCTATTAGACTATTTTACAGGAACTTCTTTTCCACAGCTCATAAAACGGAGAAAAGGGTCCTGAAAGATATT